GAAAGAAAGAAAGAAAGAAAGAAAGAAAGAAAGAAAGAAAGAAAGAAAGAAAGAAAGAAAGAAAGAAAGAAAGAAAGAAAGAAGGAAGGAAAGAAAAAAGGAGGTACAAGCCTTTGTGGTGATTTGGGGGCTTGAAGGACTTTTATTTCCCACCTGGCACAGTGCTTCTGTCTCTTATATTGCCTGGTGAAAAAGATACATGTGGAACTAGAGATCAGAGAAGCAAGCCTCCTTCGAGAAGGCAAAAATACCAATAAAGCAGGGCTACCACTCAAGTTAGATGTGTTTGTGACTCTGGAAGGTATGGGCCAGTTACTGTAGCAGAGGCAGTAGAAGGGTAGAGTTCCCCTAGGATTTTGGTCCCAGCTGTGGAAGATTAGAGAAACCTGAAATATCCGGTAGAGGAGCAATTCCTAGCAGTGTACACAGTGTTCCTCCAGGTGGAGCCTCTCAGGAAAGAAGGAACCACAGCCACCAGTTTGACTGGTGACCACTCATGAGCCATGGCTGTCAACCCTTTGCATTGATAGCTGAGTCATTCTGAAGAGATTAACCCTGTGACTTGGACAATGGGAAGCTAAGGGGTGGATGATCACAAATGTAACTTGTGGGGTCAGGATGTGTGGGGGGACATTTGAGTTTACCTGCAAGAGCCTGAGGAAATCCTCATATTTTTCTACATCTGGCTCATGAGGCACTGACACCTCTGCCAATCAGGAAGCTGATGCCCTAGGTTGGATTTGATTCCTAGCAACTAGCCCTTGTAGATATAGCAGATTGCTTAAGTAGAAAGAACAGCCACCACAGTACTCCGGTGGGATGATTTATTGCCAAAGATGCTGAATTACTCTTTAAATACAGCAATTTGGTTAATGCGGTGACAGCATGTCCTGTGTGTTCTCAACAATGCCCAAGGCAACTGCCAAAGGAAACTAGGGCCATCCACCAGAGCTCCCAAACAGTGAGAGACTGGCAAATTGATTATTTTGGCCCCCTCCCTCTGAGTCATGGTTCTAAACATACCCTGGTTTGTGTGACACTATGTCTGGCTCTAACCCAAGCCTTCCCCTGTCACTCTGCAAACCAGGCTGCCTCTATTAGGGGATTAGAGAAGATAAATGCCATGTATGGATACCTTTGCAGAATAGATAGTAGTTGAGGGTCACATTTCAGAGGTCATGATGTGTAAGACTGGGCAAAAGAACATGACTTTGGATGGAGGTTCCATCTATCTTATAACCCACAAGCAGCAGGATTAGTAGGAAGGAAGAATGGAATATTAAAGCAGCAGATTAAGTTACTATCAAGTAAAATCACCTTGGCTAGGTGAACTGAAGTACCGTTTCAGGCTTTAATACATTTGAATGATCAGCCAGCAGAGCCTATTGCCCCATATGCCAGACTGGGGACCACTGCCCAGACACTATACCAAAGATATGGCAGTCACAGAAGACATGTCGCCAATGCCCCAATTCCCACCGTGGAGCAACGAGCTATACTGCTGAGAACACCAAGTCCTGTCAGCCCTGGGAAAGGAGTTATCTACTGGGATTTTCAATGAAACATCTCATAGATGGGTGGCTCCGTACCCCTGAATGAGGGGGAATTACAAGTCTCCACTGAGATTTTATTGTCCTGCAGCAAAGCTAGACATGTTGAAACACAGTACACCTGAAATGAAACATTGTTGACAGAGGGGAGAAGGTGGGGTCCTGGTCTAGCTTGTCCTGCCCTCAGCCCATCTCCTTATGTCTGACAGTGCTGCTTCCCCCAGCCAACATGTATGATTTGTGCAGCCAGGTTACATTTTTAAAGCTGCCAACTTCTTTCTCCTCTAGCTAGTGGGCACTATCTGTTTCCCACTGGTATGATTATTTTGACACTATCATTGTCCCCTCCATTGTCCTGGAAGACATTATAGCACACATAGAACCCATGACTAAACTCACCCAACAGGCCTTAAATGATAGCCAACAATGCCTGTCCTTACTAAATTTTGAAATGTCTCTAGTAAGAAAACTTGTCCTCCAAAATAGGATGGCCTTGGAAATTATTACTGCCTTGTAAGGGGGCACCTGTGCTGTTATCAGGGTGTTATATGTTCAGACCTGATAAGTCTGCTAATATATCATTTTTATTAAATCACAAGAGGACACAAGTGAATGTTTTGAATGATCCGACCCACAGCCTAGGGGAATTAATAAATCAGTGCTTCAGATCATGGGTCTTTGGATGGAAAAAATGGTTTGGGAAATCATTATCTTAATTTTGCATGTGCCTTTACTATTCTATGGCCTCTGCTTCCAATGCAACTGGATAGATGCCAAATGAGTCGCCTCCATGCTAATGAAACCCCTTGTAGACTGCTTGGAGCACACTGTGTAAGAGGGCTACACACAAGATTTTACAAGCTGGTCATGAGGGGTGAAATGTTGGAGGAGGTCATCAAGAGGACATGACTGCTTGTTGACACACAAGCTAGACCCCAGTAATCAAAGTCTCCTCGCTCCACCCCTGTGTTGGAATGTATGCTCTGCCACCATTCCCACAGCGGAACTGTTTTCAAGGACACGGCCTTGAGAGAGCACCATGTTTTTGAGAATATCTGCATGATACCTGTGACTGAACCTGGTGCAGGCCTCTATATAAACTTTAAGGTTCTGGTGAGCAGGTGCGGAGGTCTGCTTGTCTTGAGGCACCCAAGACAAGCCTTGTATGTAAGTTCCCTCATTTGTTAAACCTGCCACCTGCCAATCTGGAGTGATATGCCTCTTTCTTCCATTTCTCCTTGCCTTCCATGTATGGAGGTCAGTTTACCAACCAACACCATTATAATGGCTAAAATTTAAGAGAGAAAATACCCAGTGTATAGGGAAGAGCTGAAGCAACTGGGACTCATACTTTGCTGGGTTAAAATGGTACAGCATCTTTGAAAATGGTCTGAAGGTTTCTTATACAATGAAATACACACTTACCAGAAACTCCACTCTATTTTCCCAGGAGATGTGAGACCATATGCTTACATAGTCCTTACAAACAAGTGCCAAGAATAACTTCATTTACAACCACCCCAAACAGGAGCCACCTAAGTGCCTGTTGGCAGATGAATGCATAAACATGCTGAGTGTCCCCACGGTGGAGGAGAGCTCAGGAATGAAGAGGGTGCTGCTGACACTGGTAACAACAGCAATGAATCTCAAATACATTTGGTGAGTAAAGAAGCCAGGCATAATAAATGATTCTGTTTATTTATGCTTCCAGAACAAGCAAAGTAAATCTATGGTGGAAAAAATTGGAAGAGCAGTGGTCTCTGTAGTTGGGAGAGAGGGTTTGACCACAAAGAGGGCATGAGGAAACATCTGGGAGATGGCAATGTTCTAAGTTTTGATATTCATGATGGTCTATGCATACAATTGTCAAGACACATTGATCTGGAACTCCAGATCAATAAGTGCTTTCTTGGTGTGTGTGAGCTATGATTCGACTAACATGTAAATCACTTCTCACCCTGTCCAGCCCCACCTGGCCCACAGGATACCACGCCCAGAGGCCTCCTTTTTGAGAGTTCCCTGGATCCATTAGAGGACCCATAGGGGGGATCTACAATGGAGAGGGCCAGACGTTTTTATCTGGAGAAGAGAAAAAGCCTCATCTTACAATCAAGCAGAGGAGTAGTATTTCACCTCATTGAGGAGTAGAAAGCCAGGCAATGGTGTTCCTAAATCAGCATCTCTCTAACAGCCACTACTCCCTCCTTTCTGAAGAACGAAACTCCGGTGGTGGGTTGGTATGTGTCAAAAAATAATAATAAACAGAGCCACTTTAAAATGGACCCAGAGCTGCCATGCCCGAGAAACTGCCTCACATGTCTTCCTCTTCAAACCTTTGGAATATTAAAACAGGGCAAAATGACCTTTGGACTAGGCCTAAGAAAACTCATGTCCCAAAGAACTGCTTGCAAAGATAAAAAGAAAACAGATATTATGACTACCAAACTGATGACTATTGGACTGAAAATTTTAAAAATTGTTTAGCATTAACATCACTATGTTATGTTATCTGCACCAATAGAAATGCCTTCCTTCTATTGCTGTAATTGTTCCTCTTCTCTTTCTCATAAATATCCATTGCTTTTGCCTCCTAATTGGAACACTATTTGGGCTTCTGCCTGAATCAGCACTTCTTGAATAGCTATTCTTATTGATCTCAAATAAACACTTGTTTGCCTCTCACTTTAAAAGGCCTTTTTATTTTTAAATTAACAAATATTTGAAGGTCCCCAAGTAATAGAACTTAACAGAGAAGTCATTCTGCACTGGAGTTGGGCTCTCACCTCTTTGAGATCTTCAGAGCCCAGGTTCCTTCCCCCTTGGGGCTCTGCTTCCTCCACAAACAGCTTCCACCTTGTGGTCCAGATGGCTGCCTCCATCCTGCTGTGGCATCTCCATGCCAGCCAGCAGGAACAGGAAAGGGCACATCCTTCCCCTTCACCACTTAACCAAGAAGTTGTGCACAGCATTTCATTTACATCTCACAGGACAGAATATAGTCATGTGGGCATACTAGGCTGTAGAGGGGACAAGTCTTTATTTGAGGGTAACTTGGGGGTTCAGTTACTAAAAATCAAGAAGGCAAGAATGAATATTGGGTAAAAATAGACAGCATTTTCAGACCAGATAATAGGTCAAGATTGGCCTGATTCTGTTCCGTTTTCTCATAGCATCCCTTGCAACTAGGGTTGGCCATGAAATCTAAAGGCAGTCTGCCAGGGAAATTCTGGGCTTTGCTTTCAGGATAAAAGGAAGCTGATATGGCTATTGGGCTCCTCCCTGTTTCTCTTAGCCTGTATAGACACGATGTCTGCAACTGTGGCGGCTGTATTGTGATCATGAGGCAGGAATCTTGAGGAGACTAGAATATCCCTGAGGTACTACTCAGATAACATTGAGCCTCTAAGTGAGGCAGCAGCTGCCCAGGTCTGATGTAGTAATAAGAGGAATAAAAACATTTCTATTATGTGAAGCCTCATTCATTCCTAACGGGTGGACATACTTAGCTTATAAACCAGCTCTGACAACTGCCCCCAAGGGTGCGTTCTGAGGATTTGGTGAGTACTGCCAGTGCTGTAGCCACTGTCTCCCAGGTCAGGCTGCAGACCAGAGAGAAAAACACATTTGGTGCCACAATTTGCCATGCCACCTTAAAAATTCACTCCTGCTGCCTTAATTGGTTTTATTTATGTCTTGACCTCAGAGTGAAGGTTGAGTATCTCATTTACCTTGATGTTTCAATGACCCCGGCCTTCTGTTGCTCCTGGAAGCCATCTCCAGATGAGTCAGGTGCCTCTTTCATCCCTGGCTGGGCTGGGCCATGAGCCCAGTGTGGAAAACATAGGAAAAAATAAAGCAGAAAAATAAATGCTTTCATTTTCAAATATGGCTGGAATTTTTAAAAGAGAAAAGAGCTTCTGAGTCCTCAGTCCTAATGTCTTTTGGATACCCAAGGCCAAGGGTGACACCACAGGCAGACCTAGTATCAGTAATTGCTCCTGTCCCTCACCACAACCAAGGCAGCAGGGAGCCCACAGGAGTGAAGGCAGGACCTCACTCATGACCTGTATCTACTTCAATAGGGAACTGGGCACCAGGGTCCAATGGCCAGTGGTAGAGAATGGATCCAGGTCAAGGAAACCCTTTATGTCACAAGACTACTTGCTGGAGTCCCTTGTGTAACTTGAACCAGAGATGCATTGCACACATACCCGCAAGCAGTCATTGTATGGCTCGGCTCTCCAGAGGAGCTCAGGGCCTCCATACGGTCAGAAGGAGGTGGGCAGTAGCTTCAAGGGCCGACTAGATCATGCACAAGAGTCTACAAGAGGCAATGAGGGTTTCTTATCTTCCTCTACTTCCTGAGTTTTCCTCCCTCCTTTTCTCCCTTCCTCCTTCCCTTTCTCTCCCTCCTTCTCTCTCTTTTTCTCTCTTGCATCAGTGGGGTGAGGCAGTGATAGACTGAGAGCTGGGCTCTGTGTTAGAAGGACCTCCGACCCGGTTATGTGACCCTGAGAGAAGCATTCCCTCAGCATCAGGTTCCATCTGTGAGATGGAACCAGATGGACAATCACATGGTGCCCACAGGGCTGAGGTTCCTCTGCTCCTGGTAGTCACATTATAGCACAGCATTGGGCTCTCACTGGTCCTCTGTCTCTCAGTCTTCTGGCCCCTGGTTTCCCCCAGGCCCTGAGCCAAGACCCAGTGCCTCAGGGGACATTGGGCACACCATGGCCGTCACCCTCCATTCCTCCTGTTCAGGTCTTCGTAGCTCCCACTGCCAATGTCTGTGGCCCTTATGGCCCTTACTCCTCCTCTTTCTGGCAGATCTGGGCCACAACCACCACCTTCTCCCTGGGAGGTACCAGCCACAGCCCCTAGCCCAGCACAGTGACTCTGGCCACCTCTGGCCCACACCAAGCCTCTCTGAAATCTGAGCTCTTATGGTGGCACCAATCATATAGTCATGGCCTGAGCCCATTCCCGTGCCCCAGTCCTTGTGAGCCTGGCTTGCGCCAGCATGGGGCTGAGACAACCTACCCAGCAGAGGCCACCTCCTCACAGCCACCAGGTGAGAGTGCTGTGGGGAGGGGAGGATGTGGGCTCTCAAGCCCTGCCCTCAACCTGCTAGCTATACCACCCTTTGGGCCTCAGTTTTCTCATCTATAAATGGGATAATAGCACCTATGGTTTGGCTTGTTATGAGGGATACGTGCCAGCTGGTCGTCTGACTCTAGGACATTGACCACAGGACCACAGGTGTGCTCTCTCCTCACTGCCCAGGCCTGGGAAGGCGGCTTCAACACTGGCTCTTCCCGTGAGGTTCAGAAAGTCAGACTACAGCTGAGGCCACGTGGCCAGAGAGTGGAGGTCAACATTGACACGAGCAGGTCCCAGCTTCCTCTGCCCAGCTCCAACCTTACCATGGTGACTAACTTCTGGATCCAGGAGGCAACTGTCGGCTGAAAAATAATATTGACTAGGTGATTTGTCACAAAAAAGGATTTATTCAGGAAAAAAGAAAGAGTTGCAACACAGCACATGCAGACATGGCAAGCCACAGCAAGCCATGTGCATATTCTGGCCTGCGTGACAAGACGGAGGGGTATTTATGCAAGGGAAAAGGAAGTTAAGGGAAGGGAACCATAGAGTTTTATTATAAACATAGAGTTCTTCTTGTAGGGTTCTAACAATTAAGTAGAGTGTGAGAACTCCTCTCATAAGCCCTAGCTCCTCCCATAGACCTGATTATATTCATTTTAAAGTTCCAGTCAGTCTTTACCACTCTTCTGGCCTCAATACTCAGGGATTCCCTATGGGGCAGGAATTTCCCCTAAGAGGTGCATAACAGAGAGTGAACTCAGCCAGAGGTAGGATGAGAGCAGAAGCCACCACTGGGAGCCCACTTAGTATCATCATGGTGCCAACAGCATAATGGGGGCCATGGGCATGATGGAGGATGTGGGTATCATAAAGGATGTAGGCATCCTGGGAGATGTGGGCATAATGGGAGATGTGGGCATCATGTGACGTTGGGATCGGGGGGCCATCAGCATCTGGTGCCATTGGGGTAGGAGATGTCCCCAGCCTTAGGCTAGGTTCTCACTTGAACTCAAGTGGCAGCATCCATGGAGGAGTCCACGGTGGTCTCTACCCAGTTGCTGGGGATGCAAGACCAGGACCCTGGTGCTCTCCAAAGAGCCTTCTTTCTTGCCTGGCTTGCACCCCCTCCACTCTTGGGTAAGATTTGGAGAATACTGGGAAGCTGTCATCTGAGAGGGGACAGTGAAGCTAGTAGACGTGCTTCTGATTAGAAATCAAAAACACCAACTAGCATCTTTTTAAGTCGCTTCTTTTTCCTTTGTTGTCTGAATATAAAATAACATATGAAGTTTTATACATAGATCTGTACCTGACTGAGACGTCTTCTAAAGAAAGCATTTTATTATCTAACAAATGGGTGTATGGAGGGAGAGACCAGCAGACTTACAAAGGTGCCTCATGCCCACTGGAGAAAGCTTGGCAAGTCGAGAAAGTTATAAAACAGGAAGATCCCATCCCACCATCCAGAGGAAAACATGCTTAACGTTTTAGTGCTTCTTTTCTCTGTGTATTATTGAACTTATTTAACTTTTCCTCATAACACTGTAGTATCAATTATGATGAGCTCCACTGCAAGCACTGCTTGTTATTAGTCACATGATAGTCTATCACGGAGGTGCCATAATCTACCCTTTCCCTGGCATACATTTAGGTTGCCTGCAATTTTTCATTACTTTAGATAACACTATGGTGAATTATGTGTAAAGTTTTATCATATTAAAGAATGCCTCCTTAGATAGATTCCCAGAAGCAAAATTATTTTGGTTGGAGGAAATAATTTAGGCTTTTGATACATTTTGTCAAATTTTTGTGAAGAATTGCTATTTGCAAGTGTTTATCTTGTAGCAACTGTGGAAGTTTTGATACTCTCAGGTTTAAAACAATAAAAAGGTTTTTGTTTATTTTGTTTGAAAAATTGTGAATCATGGCTTCAATATGTATGTCTTTAATTCTGAGATTATTTTTTTTAAAACAGGTAGTAGCCATTTATAGTTCTTTTGATTTCTATGGCAGAGATAATGCTCAGTTTACCTAATTATTTTCTCAGTTCTGTATGTCTGGGTGTGATCACATGACTAATCTTACCACCTGAATGTAAGAGGAAGTGACCTGCTACTAGATTGAAATACACTGGGTCCCTAGGTGCCTCTTTGTTGACAAGCAGGGAGCCCCTACCCATGTCAGATGTGCATGAGTGAGAAATAAATCTGTGTTTTCCACCAAAATGCTGGGGTTTATCTGATACCACAGAAGAGCTTGGCTTCTTGACCAAAACATTTGTTGTTTGTTATCTATCACTGTGAGACAACTTACCCTAAAACTTAGTGTCTTTAAAAAGAAATCATTTAAATGGCTATGTGTAGAGCCAGAAGGGTGGTAATCGGGAGATTGTTTCATAAGCTATATAAATGTCAAACCAATGTATCGTACACTTGAAACTAATAACAAAATAAAATGCTAAAAAAAAAAAAAAAGGAACCATAAAAAAATCATTTAATGTCTCTAACAGTTTCTGTGAGCCAAGAATTCAGTAGTGACTTTGCAGGGTCCCTCTGGTTCAGGGTTTCTCTTAAGGCTGAGGTCAGATGTTGGCCAGGGCTGTGGTCTCATCTGAAGGCTTGATTAGGTCTGGGGATCCATTTCCATGTGATTCACTCCCTCATGACAAGCTGTTGCCAGCTGCTGGATGGGGGCCTCAGCTCCTTCCCACGTGGCGCTCTACTCAGCACTGCTTGAGGTCCTCATGATGCTGGCTGGCTCCCCAGAATGAGTGACC